ACGGGAAGGTAGGGTGATGAATCTTGAGTAGAAACTCGTGAGAAGGATGAGATCTGAGTTTTTTGACAGATCTGATGGTCATACGCGTATTGGAGGTGTCAATACGCGTATGGGGAACTTCCCAAGGGGCTGTACGCGTAGTAGACGTGCCCTGTCCCTAGTGCCAGCACGGCCATCTGTGATACACGTATGGGCTTAGGCAATACACGTATGGGGGTAGTCATACGCGTAAGGGGTTGCATGAGGGAACCTGGAGAGGGGTGAGCCGCACCCAATACGCGTAAGGGAGTGTCCGTACGTGTATGCCAGCAGGGCAATACGCGTATGGGGAAGGGTGGTACGCGTATGGACAGTTTGGGATGACTTTTCCCCAACTTTTGTGATTCCTGTCCAGTGTTCGCTTGGAACGCATTTCCGTTTAATTGGTAGGATTAATAGAACTAAAATGAACTTAAGGAAGATTGGTAATGAATTAAATCGAGGGAGTGGGGAATGTTATGCGTGTGCCCTTATGGGTGTGTTTTGATGAGTATGAGCCATGATTGTCGAAATTGGACAATCTTGTGCGATTGTGGTAATTCCCGAGAAGATTACGGTGAGAGGATGGCTCGTGTGGATCATTAATGATCGTGAATTATGCTTGAATTATTATATTGCATAATTGTGTTGTCATGCATTTCATTTCATGTGTCTTGTGGAGATGGCTAGGTGGGAATCCATGATGAGTGCCTAGTTTTATCCGGACTTCATGTGGATGTTGTTGTGGAGATAAGTTGTAGTTCAGAGGAATCAGGTTCTAGGGTGAACCGTATGTGATTGTGTTGGTACCACATGCATTGTGTCGAGTCAGTGAGTCACGTTGCATATTTGTATCTGATATGGGCTATTAATGTGCGGTGTGTAACTACTCCTTAGCATGTGTATTTCACCGCTTATTTATTGAATGTAGCTCTCACCCCTTTTTTGTTTGTTGCATTTGTGCTCCTTAGGGAGTGCAGATGATCAGGTACCTCAGTAGTGCTTGTAGTGTGTTGCTATTTGATCGAGTCCTAGGAGTCGCTCTGATACGTAACATGGGATAACGGTCTTACGTCATATTTTGCTTATTTTCTTGATTAATTGTTACGTATCTTTTAATTGTTGGATTAATGATGTAGAACCACCGATTGTGGAAATTATGTTTAAATAATTAATTTTATTCCGCTGTTTAATTGAAAGCTAGATATCATTGGTTTAATTATGAAAAATGAAGTGACTTAGTATGACATCCTACTTGTTTTGAGAACTCTGATGTACTTTTATGAAATATTTCCGTATATGTTTTATAATACGCGTACGGGATAGAGTGGGGTGTTACACATTGTTATCATCAAAACTTAGAGATTATATACATAACCAAAAAAAATTTCTAACATTAACCCTTCCAACAATAGACCTTAGATATTAGATACTTATTAAAGATATAATTTTTGCAAATATTGCCAAGAATTTAATACTTGAGAATAATCTTTGAAGACATTACCTACACAACACATAGAACCATAAATACAATAATATTACTTTGGTACCTCCACTTTATTTTCATTTGGTATCTCTAATACTTGGTCCAGTGTGTTCATAATTTTTATTTTGATCTCAGTAGAACATTCATAAATCATTTCAAGGGTGTCCCATAGTTGTTTCAGAGTGCTACATTTAGAAACATAATTGTACTCTCTAATGCTTATCACATTTATCATCAAGTACATAACTTTAAAACTTTTTTTTGAAAATTTTCTTTTTATTTTGTGGTCTATAAATTTCTCAGTTTTTTTTACTTCTTCATTATTAATGAAATGAATAGGAAAAGATGGACCATCTAAACCATAATCCCAAAAATAAAAATCAATGGCATCTAAAAACTTTTTTATTCTTTCTTTCCATATGGTAAATCATTCACCATTAAACGATGGATGTTTGCTTACAAAAAGAATATTATTAAAATAAATGTTTGAAGTTAGCATGCTACACTAAGACAATTAGTGTTATAACAAGAGTTAGGCTTTGATGTCACTTGTTGAATAAGTGACTCCAAACACAAGACGGAGGTGAATTCTGATATTCATATTTTAATTTTTGTTTTCATAAAATCAATTTATTTAAAATTATTTACATTAGAAGTAGAGATAAATAGAGAATAAGCAGCAGAAAAGATAAAAGACAAAATAAAATAAAGAGATAGGGTAAGAAGAACATCTGAGATTATCCTGGTTCAACCTTAAACCACAAGGCCTACTCTAGTCCTCCTCTTGATATTTCTACCAAAAACAATAACTTGAGCTTTTACACAAGATCAATCCAACAACCTTAAACAACTTAAGATTTTGAATAAGATCGGCTGAACAACCTTACGCAAACACCTTGAGCTATTACACAGGTTTAGCCAAACAACTTTAAACCAATATTTTTACAGGTTTATCTTGCAATCTTTAAATATATTAAAAATCACAAGATAACCATGTTCTTAAATAAAAAATTGATCATAATAAGATTACACCACAACTCTTAGAGTGAGTTTTTCACTCTCTCAAAACTAAGGTAATGACTAGTGAATAAAAATAATAAAACAAGGATAATATGATAGATAGAAGAGATAATTATTAACAACATTTGTGTGTTGAGAAGTGATAAAAGTCCTCCTCTATATAGAAAAAATTGTGACTCAAAAAGCAAAAACTCATGGGCATTAGCGCTCCCTAATTAGTTAGAATGTCTAGCTAATCGATTAGATTAACTCGGAAAAAAACCATAATTTTTGACATCACTTAATCGATTAGCAATCTTATCTAATTGATTAGGATGATTTAATCTTACTTTTAATTGATTAGATAGAATGCCTAATTGATTAGGCAATTGAGTTTTTTTTTCCTAATAGATTATAAGACTTCTTAATAGATTAAGTACTTTCTTGGATTGGTTTTAAGTTGTTAAATAAAATATGAGAAAATTGAAATAATTTTGTTTGTGTGTTTGTGTTTTTATATGTGTGTGCGCGCTTGCATCACCTTAATAGTGCAAGAATTACACTTTCTTCGTTGACATTTTAACTGATCAAACACTAAGATAAATCATCGAACAGATAATCAGGTGGGCTTTCACAACTTCATTTATTTTTAATTACTCGATTTAACTTTTATTATCTCTTTCAAATAGAACTAACTTCAATTCCTTTTGATTTAACTTTTATTATCTTTTTCAAATAGAACTAACTTCAATTCCTTTTGATTTTACTTTTATCATCTCTTTCAATTAGAAAATAAACAATTGGTCTTGTGCTTTCTTCTTAAACTGGTGATACTTGAGATTATTTTTTCTTGTTCAATTGACATCATCAAAATCTATAGAAGAATTTATACGAATAACATAGAGAACCATCAGATCCGATATATTTACTTGACATTTTGTAGTTTTTGTTGGCACAACTTCTACGATATTGATTTTTAATCCAACAAAATGGTATAGTTATCGTGGATTATTGATCACTTCAAAAAGGAAACTATAATCGATGGCACATGAAAGTTTAGCTCCTTTTAAAACTATATTTGATTTCATGGAAGTTCTTAGATTGACGCATATGAACTCTGCAAAATTTAAAAATATGTGTTCATTCTGCAATCCAACGAGTGTAACTGAAAGTAACAAAAGCATGTGACTATTCCCAATACAACTGACTGGAAGATCTCAAGATTGGATTGAGGCACTGTTCAATAAAACTATTAGAGAAGTTGTTTATGGGAAAATTTTATTTTGATGAACATTTTTATGAATCGAATTGTTGACACAGTTGTATTTGAGCAAGGAGACAATGAGTCTCTATATGATGTATCAAATTAACAACAACCCTCACAAAGATCAAAAGCCTGGACAATATGGGAAGTTTCTCACCCTCGTAATCTCGCTCTGATCCCACGGAAACACTAAAGCTCCTGACAACTCCTACCGGTTTAGGATTGCTACGCATTTGTAATTTTTTTAACAAGTAGAACGAGCATGTGTGCAATCAAGAACACATGAGAGAATGTCACTTGATAGATTTGATTGAAGTCAGGACAAAAGCAGTTGATCAAGTTTAAATCACAACATATATGCTGAGTTAACTGGGCTAGTATGACGATATTCTTCATCTACGAATTGAGGAGGGATGTGAATGCAAACCACAAACTTGTCTGCGTTTTTGTACAGTTCAACCTAATGACGCCATAGATGGAAGTTCTTTGAAATTTAGTTTCTTTGAAATCTAGAGCAAAAACTGGAGACGATGAGAATCATCACCGAAATGGATTGAACTGCGGAAGGAACCTGTGAGACTTGGGATGAAAAAGGTGGCAATAACTGTGGAGGTGGCAAAACCGCCATTGATAGCATTTAGTAATTCAATGTCATAATTTAAAGCATATATAGAATAGACATTTTCAGTTGAATCTGATTCTTCGTTGATGTGAAAATTACTTACAACCGAGTTTATGCAAACAATATACATGCTACATCAGATTTTTCTGTCAATATATCTTGACAGTTGTTAGTGAAATTAGAGAAATACATGATTAAAAGTCTAACTGAAATAGTATATGTCTAATACACTTAATATTTCAATAAAACTAGGGTGTAAAACTCATCCCTAATCCATTATGAATTATCTCCACGCAATTAGGTTTTTTTCAGCAGTGTTTGGTCATAAGGAAGATATGCACCATTACTTCAAATCAAATAAACTATAAAAGAGACACTGATACAGTAACAGAAAACTGATAATAATTTAAGCAAAAGAATTAATTGAATATAATAACATGTATCATACACCATACATTCTTTTCCATTAAAAGTGTATGAGCTCCGAGAGCAAATAAATATATAGTATAATTGCTTAAATCTCAATTACTCATTAAGTTTTAATACTAAATAATAAACAAGTCTAAATAATCACCAAGAGTACAAAAGGAAATAACCATCTTTGCATCTTGTTAATGCCCGTTGAGTCTAATCAAACTAGAGCCAGTAATTTTCTTAGCTCTTCTATTAGCTCCCAAGGATCTCCTAATCTTAACTAAATCATCCCATTGCTCTGTGTTAGCATAAATATTAGCCATGACAGAATAAACCCCGCCGTCTTCTGGCTTTATCTCCATTACTTGCTGAGCTGCTTGCTTTGCAATCTCAACATTCCCATGTATCCTACATCCACCTAACAACCCGCCCCATGCAGACACATCACCACCACCTGGTATCCCTTTTATCATTTCCACTGATTCTTCAATCAATCCAGCCCTTGCCAACATATCAGCCATACACCCATAATGCTTAGACTCTCTAGCAACCCTATACACACTTTCCATCTCATTGAAAATCTTTTGAGCTTCATAAACCAAACCAGCGTGACTACATCCAATCAACACACCCAAGAAAGTAATTCCATCAGGCTGAACCCCTTCCGCAACCATTCTAGAAAAATATTCCAACAAAACTAAACCTTTCCCGTGAATAGCAAGACCAACAAGCATAGCATTCCATGTAAACACATCTTTATCTTTGCACGACTCAAATATACCACTTGCAATCTCAACACATCCACATTTTGCATACAAGTCCACCAACCCGGTCGTCAAAAACGAATCAACTCGAATCCCATTCCTTGTAATGTAGTCATGAACAAACCTACCACGTTCTAGCTCCCCTAATTGAGCACAAGCAGATAGAATCGAGACCAAAGCTATATTATCTGGAACAAATTCCAAACTAATCATCTCGTCAAAAAGTTCAATAGCTTCAAGACACAATTTAGCATGGCTATAACCCGCTATCATGGTACTCCAAGAAACATTATCCCTTTGGGGCATTTCGTCGAACAGTTCACGTGCAGAATCAAGCCGAAAACTTTTAACAAACCCATCAATCATGGCATTGTAAGAAACAACATCTCTATAAGAATTTTGACAGAACACCTTATGGGCGTCATTTACACGGTGATTAACAGAGTATAAGCGAATAAGCGAGTTCATAACGAAAGAATCATGGTGGAACCCGAATTTGAAGACTTGGGAATGAAGAGACTGAGCGAGAGACAGGGAATTGAGTTGAGAAGAAGCTTTGAGGATTAGAGGGAATGTATGGAAGTCGAGTGGGAGAGAGAGACGGCGGAGAGAGAGAAAGATTTGGAGGGCGGAGAGGGGGGAAGAGAGGAGGGTGTGGATTCTGATGAGGGTGTTGTAAGTGAAAGTTGTTGGGTTTGGAATTGAGTTAAAGAGGGAAAGTGCATAGGTTGTTAGAATTGATTTGGAACATGTTTTGTTGTTTATGTTTGTGGGGATTAAGGAAGTTAAAGTGGAAATGATGTTGTTTAAGATTGTGAGTTTGTGGTGAGGTAATAGACCTGTGGTGATTGTGTGAGCGTGGATTTGGTGAAGATGTTTGATGGATTTGCTTTGTTTTATCCCATTCAAGATTTTCATATGAAATTATTATTATTTATGGATTGTCATTCATCATGTTTTGTCACTATGTTCTGCCATGAGTTTCTGGGTTTCTGGCGATAGATGAAGAAGCGAAATGTTCATAAAAAGATTTCTGGGTTTGTGGCGATAGATGAAGAAGCGACATGAGTTTCTGGGTTTCTGGCGATAGATGAAGAAGCGAAATGTTCATAAAAAGATAAAAATAAAAAAAATAAAAAATCGTGGACGGCAGGATTCGAACCTGCGCGGGCAGAGCCCACATGATTTCTAGTCATGCCCGATAACCACTCCGGCACGTCCACATTTTTGATATACTTTTGAAACTTTGTATTATTTAACTATATTATAACCAGTAGAGAACAAACTTAGGTGATGTAAATATAATGCTTGTAACGGTCGAATATTAAGTGTAACTGCCCTATTATGATTTGGAGATAATAACCTCTCGTAGTATGAGCCTCATACTAATTACATAATAGTTTTATCTAAATAAGAGTATTGTTTTTTTTCTTCTTATTTTCTACTACATGATTTTCTTGAAAAAAAATTACTTCTAATTTATTTTTATTGATATAGATATTATTGGTTAGAATTTTTTATTTATTTATAGACGAAGTGATTAAAAATTTAAGACACACAATTATGAGTAGAGTTTGAATTTTGATAATGACGTCTAATTTAATAATATATATTTATCTTAGTTAAACGTGAATTACAACTTTACTTCACACTATGTGTTTTTGGATACCTGTCAATTTATAGAGGTTATAAATATTTAGATTGATCATTGAATGAAATAATCATATGTCGTCATATTAAACATAATGCAATCTCTATTTTTTATGCAAAGATGCGCACCCTTAATCCATTGTATACACCTTCTTAGACAATGATTTATTCCTTTCATTATATATCACCTCTTAACTCACACTCAATTTAACCCAAATCCAATTCAACCGACTCATCTACTTCATCGGTCCCTGTCACCAACCACCAACTATCTCAAACCTAAACCTATGACCTCCGTTACTCACCCCCTCTTTCTCCTGCACAGGGTCTCAACCCAACCTTAAATGTCACTCGTCCCAAATCCAATTCAACTGACTCATCTACTTCATCGGTCCCTGTCACCAACCACCAACTATCTCAAACTTAAACCTATGACTTCTGTTACTCACCCCCTCCTTCTTCTACACAGGGTCTCAACCCAACCTTAAATGTCACTCTTCCCCCCCCCCCCCCCCCCACACACACACAAACACGCACACTTCCTCAATACACTATCACACCTCAAAAATTTAACCAACAATTGTTTCCTCCCATTTTCCAATTCATTTTACGCACAAACACCTAGCAAAAAAATAGAAGTCAACATGGTATCTTAAACCAAAAATATTATGAACTACACATACATGTTATCAAATCCTCTCTCCCCAAAAACCATGTGTCAGGACTTTAAGACCCAAATTAAAAAATGGTCATGGATGATAAATATAATGCTCTAATTAAAAATAAGATGTGGGATTTAGTATCACGGCCACCTAATGTTAATGTTATTTGATTTATGGGTTTTTTTCCATAAAGAATAATCAGATGGTTCCTTTAAAAGACATAAAGGTCGTCTTGTAGGTGATGGTACAAGTCAACAACTTGGCATTGATTATGGAGAAACTTTTAGTGCAGTTGTTAAACTAACAACTATTCGAATTGTCATTAGTATTGTTGTTTCTAAATCTTGGAAAATTCATCATTTGGATATCAAGAGTGTTTTTTTTATATGGAGAATTAAAAGAAATTGTCTACATGCATCAATCGTTAGGCTTCAAGAACCCAGCAAATCCTCATCATGTGTGTCTTTTACATAAATTTCTATATGGACTCAAACAAACTCCTCGAACTTTTTATAAGTGATTTGCTTATATGTTTCATCTATTGGCTTATCTCAAAGCAACTATGACAAGTCCCTCTTCATCTACAAGAAAGACATTCATATGGCTTATATTGTATTATATTTGGATGATATTATTCTTACTACTTCTTCTGATACTCTAAGACAACATATCATCTTACTCCTTAGTTTAAAATTTTCTATGAACAAGTTGGGACCCTTGAACTTCTGTTTGAATATGATAGTCACTCGTCATCCAAAATATTTATTTCTCTAACAAAAAGAAGTATGCAAACGAAATTCTTGTACGGAGTATAATGTCATACTTCAAACCATGCATCACCCCGATTGACATAAAACTCAATTTGAATGTCATTAATAACACTCGATATGAGGATCCATCTCTCTATCGCAGTCTTGCAAATGCTCTTTAATATCTCACTCATGCTCCGCCCAACATTTCTTATGCAGTACAATAAATATGTCTCTTCATGCACAACTTCATGGAGGCTCAGATGCATGTTCTCAGACGTATTTTGTGATACATTCAAGGCATATACATATATATATATATATATATATATATATATATATATATATATATATATATATATATATATATATATATATATATATATATATATATATATATATATATATATATATATATATATATATATATATATATATATATATATATATATATAACAGTATGGTTTAAATATTTATCCCTCTTACTATTGATTGGAGAGGGTTTCTCGACACAAGATGTTCTACCTCTTACTATTGTGTGTTTATTAGTGATAACTTACTTTCTTGGTCGTTCAAAATGCAACTTACATTATTTCGCTCTAATGTTGAAGTTGAATATTGCGGTGTCGCCAATGTGGTTTCTAAATCACGTTGAACGAACAACCTTGTTCTCAAATTACATTATCTCATTCACAAGGTCACTTTGGTCTACTCTAACAATGTCAATGTGATATATCTCTCCGAAAATTCCGTTTAACATCAGAGAATCAAACACATCAAAATGAATATGTATTTTATTCGAGAAAAATTAGCTCGCGATCATATAGGTGTTCTTCATATCTATCTCCTCACAATATCAAATATTTTTATCAAAATTTTTCTTCTAATATTATTTCAAAACTTCAGAAATAGTCTTAAAGTCACTCAACCTACTAAGGAAATAGTAGAATTTGCCTAAACTTAGTATATAATGATTTAGTGTAACTTAATTGTTATGTATTATTAATTTTCATAACAAATTTTGGTAATTGTAATATATTATTCAGAAAAGATATGAATGAAAACCAGGGAATTATATACTTACAACATTATCACTAATTTGTGTGAGGTGCAAATGATGTACAATTATCATTACCTTTCTTTCTGTAACTAAAACTTTTAGGAAAAGATAGCAAGTTTATTTAATTCCCTTGTTTGTCGGTTTCGTTCAAACCAAACTGGTGCTATCAAATTCAAAACTGTAAAGGATAAAGTGCATAAATAAGATAAGACACCACCCAGCAAACAAATCTGATTTTGGAAATTCTATATGTGGAACAAAACAAACAAAACCATGTCATTTCTTCAACCCACTTTGTAAAAGCTTTCCTCATATTCCATAATTATTTAATTAATTATATAGTACTAACTTGTAATCAGAAAAGCAAACTCCATCAAGAATAGAAAAGTTAACTATCCAAATAGTGCTTAAGAGAAAGTGATGACTTAATTATTTTATCATGAGGAACTCCAATAATTGATATCTTCTTATTAGGGAAAGATTGTGATTGATATGCTAAATTGAGCAGTATCTTTTAATCCATGTGATGTGACACTTTGTATATGGCTATGGTACAATCACTTAAAGATTAAGCTAATTTCACTAAAGAATAAGTGGCTATGTACCTATCCACTCATAAAGCATCTGACCCTCCCTCTCCCACCATCTTCAAATTCGACGGTGCCAACGTATTCTATAACACTTATTAATATTATTTTCCCACTACAACTACTTTAACTAACTTTTCATTATTATACTGTTTATATGTTCTCCTTTTTACCTGTTTTCCAATCCTGTCGAGCACCTTGTTTTACTTATTGTTTTAACAATAAAAATAGAAGGTAAAATTGACCTATTTATAGGTTTTAGAAGGAAAAAAAACTAAATCTAACCTTTTTATTAAAGAAATCAAGTCGAGCTTTAAGAAAAATTATAAACTCTTGTGGGACAGTTTAACCTATTCTCAATCATATCCTATTTATAAGTCATACTTACAAACAACTTTCTATAGTATCAAAAATCACAATGCAATTCAATTTAAAACCTTATCTGTATAGTGCTGCTTTTGAGAGACCTTTTGGAAAAATAACTTGAATATTACAATATGTATTCTTTTGCTTTTGGTAGCACTATTCTCCTTTTTCTTCATTTTAAATTCCCTAACAAGTTGGAAACTGGATATATGTTATATCTTTGCCTTTGGGCAGACACTATATATGTATGCTGGAATTCAGTGAAATAAGAACCCTTCCCAGTTGTCATTTGTCCTTTATTCAAGAGGCCATCAAATCTATATAATCTGAAAGCCAAGTAAAAGCCAGAATATGGAGGAGGAAGAAGAAGGAGATGAAGAGGATGAAAGCAAATGTATTCAGTTCTTGAACATTATGCTTCTCACCTTTTGAAGAGAGAAGCATGAAACTAAAAGGCAATTCATATAGGCTAAGGGAAGGCTAAGCCTTTCTTCCAGGTTCCATTCACAAAGCTGCAACTTCACCTCACTGGTGGTTCGACAACTGCGTCAAATCAAACACAGTCTGCAATTTCATCTTTAATCAATGTGTATTTAGTGTTGTACTTGTTTCTCTTTTCACTCATTCTTTAAAGTAGTTAATTTGATATTAACTGTGATAGTATGTGTCTGTTAAGGCAAACAGCATAAACTGTGATAGTAACTGGTATTGTAATGTTTACCTCTGTTTTTGCTGCAAGCCATGAATAAAATGGTAGAGTTTGTTGTCACATAGAAAACTTTAGTGTTTTCCACTGTCAACATTTACCTTGTGCAGTAAACATGTTTGTTGTCTATGATTTTTC